GTGTGTGTGTGTGTGTGTGTGTGTGTGTGTGTGTGTGTGTGTGTGTGTGTGTTTTAAGATCCATATGTTTAGGGGGCAGCTAGGTGGCACGGTGGATAGAGCACCGGCCCTGAAGTCAGGAAGACCTGAGTTCAAATCCAGCCTCAGACCAAACACTTGACACTTACTAGCTGTGTGACATTGGGCAAGTCACTTAACCCCAATTGCCTAAAAAACAAACAAACAAAAAAAGATCCATGTGTTTGTTGACAGCCACAGACTAATAGACAAAGAAAGCTAACACAACTAGAGGAAAGAAAAGAAAGAATAGAACCACTTCTCCAGCAGAAATGGAGAAAAGGAGGCAAAAATTCAGGAACTAGTTGAATAATTAGACTCTGTAAAAGCAATCTTCATGATGTTCCCATGAACAAAGGTCTCTAGTGGAGTGCCCCAAGGCTCTGCCTTTAACCCTGTGCTGTTTCACATGAGTTATAGGATCATGGTTTTAGAACTGGAAGGAAGTTTGGAGATCATTTTGGCCTAATCCCTTCACTTTATAGAGGAGGAAACTGAGACCCAGAGAAAGGAAATGACTTGCCCAGGCTGCTACAGTTAGTAACTGTGTCTATCATGGAATTCCAATCCAAGCCTTTATGTCTCCAAAGCCACCATCTTCCACTGAATAGAAGCAATGCTTGCCATAGTTCCAGATAACACAAAGCTAGAAGGAATAAAGAATGTGTTGGATCACAGTGAGTATCCCAAAATACCCAGAGTATACAGGCCAGAACAGTGGGCCAAATGTAATCAGTTGAAATCTAATTAAAGTTTTATACTTGGAATTAAAAAAAAAATGACTTCATAAGGTCAAGATGGGAGAGGCCAGCCTAGAAAGGGCATTATCTGGACAAGAACAGGGAAACTGCATGGACTGTACCCTCAATATGAGTCAGTAATACAATGGGACACCCTCCCACCCTCACTGATACTACCTTAAACTACGTTTAGAGAGGCAAAATTCTAAACTGCCTCTGCTTGGGGAGGGGAGGAGGTGGGAGTAGGCAGGGAATGATTGCAGAATTTCCCTCAGAGCCATTGATGACAACAAGTACAAAATGTCTTTATTTCACAGAAATAAAAGCCATTTCAAAAGAAGGGGCATTATTATTTGGGACCAAATTTAACCTCACCTGATCAAAGCTCACCACTGCAGAGACCAAAGACTTAGAAGGAGCCCAGACCAGGACAGTGTGCATCAAGCTCCAGACTGACCCCTAAGCCCAATCCCAACTTGAATCCTGGCCCTGGCCCCAAATCAAACCCTGACAAAGGAGATGGGGTGAGGGGGTATAAATGGCTCAGAGGGAGGGTGACTCATGATTACAGGTGAAGCCCAAAAAATATACAATGTTTGAGAAGGAAGCAGTGGTGATCTCTTCAAGAAGTGCCCAAGGAACCTTCAGAGATGGTGGTTTGGCCAGGAGGGGAACCAAGGAGGGGCAGGGAGATGGGTTGGGAAGGTCACATGGGGGTGCTACGGACTCCTGGGATATCTTCCATCACGTTCTCATTCTCGTAGGCATTTTTGTGCTCACTGGACCTGAAAGGGCAAAGAGCCGAAAGTCTATTTACATCCACTCCTTCCTAGGGACGCTGCATCCTGGCACTGCTCCTGCCCCAGCCCCTTCCACCCTGTGGCTCCAGGCAAAATCACAGAATGGCAGAGCTGGAAGTGACCTTGGAAAACATCCTGCCCCATCTGTACCTTTTGTTTGATAGAGGGAGAAACCGAGGCCCATTGGGGGGAAAGAATTTATTCAAGATCACACAGTGCAAAGTCAATGGTCAGAGTTGGATGCAGATCCTTTGACTCCCAAGCCAGGCACATCCTTCCTTCCACCTCTACCTTCCCTTGTCCAACCCCATTCCAGGCCAGGCAGATTACAAGCAAAGGCAGCATGATATTGTCAAATTGATTGAGTTTCTGAGGCTAAAGTCCAGTCTGTTTGCTTGAGCATGTGCCCTGGGAATCATCCTCTCACTAAGCCCCCCACTCCCTTACAAGACCCCCTCTCCAACACTGAGCTTTCATCTCCTTCCTGAAGCTCCATCCCCTTACTAAAACACATTCTCCCCTACATTCCCCCTCACTTAGCCCTTATTCCCTCAACTGAGCCTCTGTCCTCCTCAACATGTTCTTCACTGATTCAACTAGGTATAGGAGATAAAAGGCTAGACTTGAGAGTGTGGGAGACCTGAGTTCTAATCCTGTTTATGGCAACCTAACCAAATAACCTTTTCCCACTCCTGAGACCACAAAGTAGCTCCTATCCTTTGGCATGCTAGCCAAACCACCTATAGGTCCCATCTGAGACCAGGTCTCTGTAAAAAGGAAACCAGGTCTGCTGGGGTAGATGAGTCTTTGTACAAGTATTTGCTCCCTCCCTTGTCCATGGCAGGACATTTTTCTTCAAAGACCCTGTGGGGTCCAAGTCATAATCTGGATCGGCATCAAGATAAGGGCTAAAGTCAGGATCACAGTTACAGTCAGGGTCAAGGTAAAAATCGGGTTCAGAGTCGGAAGCTTGGGCAGGCTTACCTGAAATTCAAAGCCATTGTCGAATACTTTCCATCCACCCCTGCCAAGTTCCCGTCTGATTTGGCTCCAACCGACAGGACTGTTGTCACAGGCTCCCTGTCAGAAGAACACCCCCACCAGAGATCAGCAGATACCAGTCTACCTCACTCACCCACAGTGGGGCGAGGCCCACAGGAGGAAACTCAAGGAAATGGTGCCACTCCAGAGTCAGGGCGAAGATACACATCTCCTATTCATGTATTCAGCTTCTCACCTGAGCATCCACTCACCAAGCTGGTTATAATGGGCCTGCAAATCCTGTCACAGCTGTCGGTGTCCACTTTCAGTGGACTGGCTCTGTACCTATGGGGGCCCCATTGTGGTAATCTCCTTGCAGGACAGTGGTTCAACCCACTCTTGGCAGGTATGAGAATCCCTGCTTCCTTCTCATCTTCACAACTATCTGGGGGACTCCTTTCTGACCATCAGTTTGTAGGAGCTTTATGTGATTCCCCGAAGACCTCAGCTACCAGCTCAGGTCCTCAGAACTACATGTGTGTGCGCTTGAGCATGTGTGTGCATGTGTGCGTGCGTATACATGCATGTGTGTGTGTGTGTGTGTAGAGCAGAATTATTTTCATGTACGTAGAGCAGGATTACTTCATTGTGAGTTTTCAGGGTAAAGGATGAGGCCCTGGGGACCAAACAGAAAAATTAAAAGCCTGAAGAAAGCTTAGAGATCACCTGGTCCTATCTTTCCCATTTTTTAGACCAGAGTTAGGTGACTTGCCCAAGGTAGTCAGTAGCAGAGACAGGATTTGAACCCAGGTCCTTAGACTCCAGATCCAGTGTTCTTATAATTGTACCCTCCTTAACATGTCTCCTAACCAGCTTCTTATTCTCAGTAATAGCACCAGGGAAGAATGGGACTCCTTAGGCCAAAAACTCAAAGGACACAGAAAAAGCCTTGAACTTTCTAAGACTTTGGATGATAGAATCAAGCTCCAAGGAGTTCTCAAGAGACTGGAATACTAGACTTACTCTCATTAGATGAAATTTAGTAGGGATAAATGGAAAGTCATTTCTGAGCTAAAAAACAAACAAACAAAAAAACAACTTAGCAACTATGAAAAAAGATCTGGGGACAGCTAGGTGGCTCAGTGGATAGAGCGCCAGCCCTGGAGTCAGGAGGACCTGAGTTCAAATCCGGTCTTAGACTAGACACTTGACACTAGCTGTGTGACCCTGGGCAAGTCACTTAACCCCAATTGCCTAAAAAAAAAAAAAGGTAGAGAAAAGCCACATGAAGGAGTTTATATTTTATGCTAGGGAGCCACTGGAGTTTATCAAGTAGAGGAATGACATGGTCATATTTTCACTTAAAGAAATCACTCTGGCTTCTGTGTAGATGATGGATTGGAGTAGAAGGATCCCTCGGGCAGGGAGACCAATTAAGAAGCTATTTCAATAGTCCAGGACAGAGGGGATGAGTTCCTGAAATAAGGTAGTCAATGTTTGGATGGAGAGAAGGGATCAAATTTTAGAAATGTTGTGGACGTAGACACGGGCAATATCTGACATCTGATTGAACGGGTGAGGTGAGAGTGAGGTGGCTTTGCCTCTCTGACTTCCTGAGATCCTGCCAAATGCTCCTCTAACTCAACTCTGTTCCCAGCCTGAGATCCTCACCGGAGCCACAAAGGATGAGGTCATTGTGGGAGAGCTTATGCAAAACTGGTCCATTCCCAGAATTCTAGACAGGGAAGGAAGTGGTTTCCCACTGTCTGAGGGAAGGATAAGAAGGTAAGGAGGAGGGGAATGGAGAAGGAGAAGGAAGACAATGAAGCAGAGGAAGAAGGAAAAGGGAAGAGAGATGCCAGGGGACGGAGAACCAGGAAAAGAAGGAGGAGAAAAGTAGAAGATGAGGGAAACAAGGAAGCAGGAAGAAGGGCAAGGAAAGGTTAGGAGGGAGGAGAGAAAAGAGGACAAAGAAACATGAGGAGGTGGAGGAAGAAGGAGAGGAGGAGGAGAGAGGGCAAGAGAGGAGGAGAGAGTAAGGAGGAGGAGGAGCAGAAGGGAGCGAAGGTTGCTGAAGAAAGTGGGAGCTCCAGGGAGGATAGAGTTTCTCCTTCAGAATCCTAAGCAGGTAGAAATGCTGGGACTTGGCTATCCAACTCTTCCCATGGTACAAGTTGGGGCCCAACCTTATTCCAACGTCACTCTCCCACCCACCTCCCCTGTTTGACTGAATATATTAGACTGGGAGCACAGGAGGAAAGAATGATTACTTCAGAGGGGAAGGCCCATCCCATGCAGGGGGAGGTAACAACAATGATGATAATAATGCCTCTCCATATAATAATAATATTGCAATCAATTTCCCAAGTACTTCCCATCCATTCTTTCCTGAAATCCTGACAAACCCCTGTGAGGCGACTAAGACAATTTTATCTCCACTCTACAAATTAGGAAACTGAGGCTCAGAGAGGGAAGTGACTTGCCCAAGGTCATGAAGCAAATCAGTCCCACACCTGGATAAGAATCTGGGTCCCATGACACCCAAACCAAGGATCTCACTCCACCAGAACACGCTGCCTCCCTAAGACAGAAGAGAGAAACAAAAGAGAGAGGGCATCTGGGAAGAGGGGTGCCAACAGTGTCACTTACGGATCCTCCTGGCACCAGAAGTGATTAACAGCAAATGCTATGGCCACAAGGGCCAGAAATACGGCCACAGCAATCAAGCCCTGCATCCATGGTTCCAGATTCCCCAGACCTAGGGGAGAAGAGAGAGAGAGATACAGGACTTTATCTTACAGAGATAAAAAAGCTAGGGTCTGAGGTGACCACAACCTTTGGTATCCCCAAATATCTCAATAGACTGGCACAAAGGACTGAATCTAAAAAGGTAACTTGCAATAGTAATAATAAATGTAAAATCTTATGAGAACAAGACAGGAGGGGCAAAGCTAGAGAGCAGTTCCTCTGGGAAAGATCTGAGGGTCTTGGTGGACTGCAAGCTCAAGATTAGTTAACTGTATGACATGGCAGCCAGTCAATGATTAAACATATTAAGTACCCATTATGTGCCAGGCACTGTGTTAAGCACATACAAAGCTTCTCCAGGAGTCGACAGCCTAATGGTGGAGCTAATATACAAACAACTATGTACAAACAAGTTCTACACAAGATAATTTGGGGGTAAACAAAAGCAAGTCACTGGAATTAAGACAGATTGGGAAAGATTTCTTGTAGAAAGTGGGATTTTAGGTGAGACTTGAAGGAAGGCAGGGAAGCTAGGAGACCAGAGATCAGGAGGGAGAGAATTCCAATCTTGAGGCACAGTCAGTGAAAATATCTGGAGTTAGATAAAGTGTTTCATTTAAAAAACAGTGAGGATACCAATGTCCTTGGATCAGAGAGTGTGGGGGGACATGCAAGGTATAAGAAGACTGGGGTGGGGGATAGTTGTGCATGGCTTTGAATGCCAGAGAATGTTTCACTGATCCCGGAGAAGATAGGAGTTTATTGAGGAGGGAGGTGACATGGTCAGATCTGGGCCTGAGGAAGATAAATTTGACATTAGCCAAAAAAGCCTAATGAGATCTTAGGCTATGTTAAAAGAAATTTAATATCCAGGATGAGGGAAGTGATAGTCCCATGGTTCTCTCCTGTTCTAGGACCATATTTTAGGAAAGACATTGATACCCTGGAGAACATGAAGAGGAAAGTAGTCAGGATAATGAAGGGTCTTGAGATCATGCCATGTGAACATTAGCTGAAGCAACTCTTGGGGTCTTTTGTGGAGGAGAAGGAAGAGGGGCATGAAAGGGCCAAATGGGAGTTATCTTCAGGTATCCAGGAACTGTCATGGAAAATGGGAATCAGTCTCATTCTGCTTGGCCCCAATGGGCAGAACCAGGAACAAGAAGAAGTTACTGAGGAGACAGCTGAGGCTGGAGATCTGGAAGAACGTTCTAGTGATCTGAGCTCTTCTTAAGTGGAATGGGCTATTTTGTTTGGAAGCCCATTTGGGACTCAGAGAAGACTCAGCTATAGTGAGGTGGGGTCTAGGAGCCATGAGATGGAGGAATGGAGACATCAACGTTCTAGACTGGGGCTCTTCTCTACAGACTAGATTGTCTTCCTAATCATTCAAGAGAATGAATTTTTAAAAGGATTCATTGCCAAGGAAGGGGACTCAGGGAGAGCATGGGAGCTCAACAGAAGGATGGTAGCTCAGGAAGAAGTTGGGGAATCAGTGAGGACAATGAAGATTTAGTTACTGGGGTGAGTAGTCCATTATTGCAAAGGAAGTTCACTGAGGAGAATATAGGCTCAATGTCCTGGGGAGGGATCAGTGAGGGGGATGGGGATCAGTGAGGGGGATGGGGGATGAGTGAGTAGGGTGGGGGATAAGTGATTGGGATGGGGGATCAGTGACAGGGATGGGATCAGTAAGTGGGATGGGGATCAGTGAGTGGGATAGGGACTCAGTAAGCTGATGGGAGATCATTGTAACTACTGAGGACTTAATGAAGGGATTCAGGTTTAGTGGAAGATAAGGGCTCAGAGAGAGGGATGGGGAATCAGTGAGAGGAATGAGAGCTCGGGGTCAGTGATTGGTATCTTTTTGCTGGGTAAGGCGTTGAATAAGTGCCTGAGAATCTCAACACCTCAGGCTCTCTTCAAGTGCGTCACAGCCTGAGTCATGGTTCCCCCCCACACTCCTAAATGGAAAGATCTCCTTCAGAGCCTCACTGTTTAGAGAGACTGAGGTCTAGCCTCTTGAGCTAACAGGGTTCCCAGCTGGAAACTGGGCCTGGTCCTGCCCCTTGGGTAAGAGGCAAGGTTGTTCCAAGCTCTCTTATGCTGGCATACTCTGTCTGGAAAATCCTGTTCCAGAAGATGAAGTTTCTCCATAGAGAGTGAGAGGTCTGATGGGTCTGTGTCCTAAAAGAGACTGAGGAAAGGCCAGGAAGAATGGACAGTGCAGGAGTGTCCTCCAGGCCTTTGGAGTGACCCCAGTGTGTGTGTGAAGGAGGCTTCTGAATATTTTCTTCTCCTGACAGTACCTCATCCCTACCAAGGTCTCCCACAACCCCACCCACCCCCACCACCCACTATCAAGTCCAGTCAGGTGAACTAGCTTTCATTGATCACCTTGTGCCAGGCACTGTACTAGGCACTAGGATACAAAGAAGTCTGCTCTCAGGGATCTCCCAGTCTAAGCAGGGAGACAACAGGCAAACAGCTATGTCCAAGTAAGACTCAGAATAAATTAAGAATAATCCACAGAGGGAAGGCACTAGAATTCCTGCAAAAAGCAAGGTTTTAGCTGGGAGCCAAGGGAAAGGAGTGAGGAGGAAGAGAATTCCAGGCATGGGGCACAGACGGTAGAAATGCCTGGAAGCTGGCTCTGGATTGTTTTGTGTGAGGAACAGCCAGGAGACCAGTGTCACTGGATCAGAGAGAATGTGGAGGGGAGGAGGGTGTATGAAGGGGGCCAGGTTGTGAAGGACTTTAAAAGCACCTCCCCCCAAAAAAAAAGCCACTTTCATCTTCTGTTTGCTGATATTCTTCTTTTTTCCTGTTCATTATTTCAGGCCGAGAAGGACACAGGTTGAGAAGGAAGAGGGAGGGAGGAGATCCTCCAGAGATCAGCCCACCATCCTCCTGACTCTAGACAGAATAATCCCAAGGCCCATCCAAGCAGGTGGCTAGCCCCTCCAATACTTTGAGGAACCAAAGTTACTTTTTTTTTTTGACCCGTGGAGAGGGAGGGGAAAGACACCTCAGCCCTACCTCACCCTCGGAAGCCTTTCCTGATCTAACCCAAAGCCTTCCTGCAGTGATACAGCTTTTGCTTCCATTTTCATGTTATGTCTTGGGGCTTAAGGGGAAATAGTGGAGGGAGGTGGCTCTGGTCCCTGGGCCGGAGGAGTCCCTTCTTTATCTCTCCTGACAGGACAGTGCTATTCTGGGATAACCGTCCTCACTGAACATCGCCAAGGCCAAAGTCACTGTGTTATCAAGGCATTGTTGGCCCAGAGCAACATTGTTTCAACTGCACTGTTTTCTGCCAGACACCTGTGGGATGGAAGAGAGCAGGGAAGCCTCCCTCCCTCCTGGGTCTGGTGGGCACACCAAGTTTGATGACTTTCTCTCCCTGAATGGCCAGAAATCTCCTTCGTTTTTCTTTCTTCCCCACCAGAAATCTTTTCCTGGCCTACCTCCAGGCCTCACGGGCTGCCCCTCCTTTCTCCAAGCACCAGACAAGAAGGAAAGGCTGGGGAGGTCAACCCCCAAAACAATGCATGCTATCAAAGTCTAGGAGAAAGAACGAGCCTTGGGCTCTATGCTTGGCCCTGCTGCTGACTCACCCTGAGACCTTGGGAGACTCACTTTCTTGTGAAGGCTTCCCTTTCTCCTCCTAAAATCGGGGTAATAATCTCTGTCCTTTCACAAACTATCTTGAAGATCAAGTGACCCGACATGTATAAATGGGCTTTGAAAAAGTTAAGAAAAATGTGAGAGCTGAGCCAAAAGAAAGAAAAGAAACAGAAGGAACACTCGGGAGGAAACCAAAGGTCTGAATTCTAATGTAGTCTCTGACTTTGAGCAAGTCCTCTCATCTCTTGAAATCGGTTTCCTTGTCTCTAAAATGGGAGAGTGGAGCAAAGCTATCTCAGAAGCCGCGGCCATCCTTGACATTTACTGTGCCACATCCTTCTTAGCAATAACTTTCTATGTTCTAAGGTCACAGATAAGGATAGAGCTGAGAAGGACACCAGAGGCCATCTGACCCATTTTATAGATGAAGGAACTGAGGACCAGGAAAGTCAAGTGACTTCCAAGAAAGTCCCTTATCCAGGTCCTCTGACCCCAGAGAGCAGTACAGTAGATGCAGCACTGAGCCTGGAGTCAGGAAGACTCTTCCTGGGTTCAAATCCAGCCTCAGACACTTACTAGCTGTATGACCCTGGACAAGTCATTTAACCCTGTTTGCCTCAGTTTCCTCATCTGTAAAGTGAGCTGGAGAAGGAAATGGCAAACCCCTCCAGTATCTTTGCCAAGAAAATCCCCAATGGGGTCATGAAGAGTCAGACACAACTGAAAAATGACTGAACAACAATCTCTGACCTCAAAGCCAGTGTTCTTTCCATGGTGTCTGGATTCCTCCTAAGCTCCTTCCCAGCTCTGACATTCTCTGTTCTATGTTCTCATGCCCTTTGCTGCTCTGGTATTCCATGATCTCCCTCAGTCTCCACTTAAGCCCTCTTCTCCTAGTCCCACTAGCATCGTTGGCACGTCCCCTGTATCCTCTGATATGTACCAAATGTCCCACTGGCTCCATCCGCAGCAGAAGGGCTACGCTCACAAGAGCCCTAGGGGATAGGTAGTCCAAATGCTGTTAGCCTCATTTTTCAATTGAGAAAATGGAATCCTCAGAGCCGTTTGTCCAAGAACATAGAGCTAGCCAGTACTCAGGGCCTCTGAATGCCAAGCCTAGCGCTCATTTCAGAGGACAATGGCTGTAAGCCCTACCCCCTCCCTCATTTGTCTCAGGAGGAAACTAAGGCCCAAAGAGGGAAAGAGCCCAATGTCACATCAACAGTCTGGGGTACACAGTGGCTTGATCTCCCAATTTTCAGTCCAATTCTTTCTGCCCTGACTCCAACCCACCCCCAAGTCAAATACAACAGCATTTGGATCCCTGAAGACAGGAGTCTCAGCAAAAGAGAGACTCTGAGGGCATTTCCTTTGAGTAATATGACTACCTCCTACCTATGCAAAGTCCTCACTTCTCCTGTCCTCAAGTCTTCCTTTAGACGGTCCTAGAATTGACCATTTCACAAGTCCCTCATTTATGAGCATCTAGTATAATAACATGTCAGTCACCCATCCTTGTCCCTAATCTGGTACCTTCTGAGGCAAATTTGGATTCAGATGCTTCATTAACACTGTTGGACCCATTTCATAGGTGGGGAAACTGAGTCACCGAAGAGCTGAGGCCAGCTGAAAAGTGTACCAGTAGAATAATTAGAACTGTCTAAAAGTGGAAGGAGTCCCCCACTTCCATCTGACCCCTTGTGGCCTATATAGAAGGGGAATTTCTATTCAGGTATAGGTTGAACTAGATGCCTCTGAGATCCTACCCAGCTCTGAGGATGTGATTATGTGACCCAGGGGATCCACTTTCCCCAGTCCGGAGGGGGAACACCCCTTGTTTGCATTGTTGACTTTGAAATGAGTGGTGGACCACATAAGGATGGAGAGGGGAGAGAATGAATCCACATATCTGGAGTCCTAAGGAAACCCCATCATCCCATCAAAGAGTGTCAGGGCTGGGGGTGGAGGTGGAGGGGAGAAGGGAGGGAGGGGATCTTTAAATCAGAGTAGAGAGAAAGTCAGCACTGGAAGGGCCCTCAGAGCCTAGAGCAGAGAATGTCAGAGCTGGAAGGGCTCTTAGAACATAGAACATGGTAGGTCAGGGCTGGGAGAAATGATAGAACACAGAACACAAGTTCAGTAGTTACTAAATACCTTCTTTGGGCAGAGTACCTTGCTAGATTATGTCAGACCTGGGAGAGACCTCAAAAATCAGCTCATCCAGTCCCATCATTTATATATGGGGAAACTGAGGTCCAGAAAGGGGAAGTGAGTAGCCCAAATTCGCAGAGAAAGCCAACGACCAGACCAGCAGCACTGCCCAGGTCTCCTGACTCCTAGGCTGGTATTCTTTCCTGGGATAAGAATGTCTCTGTTCCAGCACAGAACTGTTCACCAGGGTGCCAGAGCCTGGCATCGACCCTACATTGGCAGGGACTGACCTCCCAGGGAACCCTCAAGCCCCCCAGTGCTCCCAAGGCTACCTTGTTGACAGGTGACAGGTTCTGCTGCCATAAGCAGGCATAGCAAGACCAGCTCGGGGGTCTCCATGGCTGGAGTCTCTCTGGTCCTGGCAGGGTGAGTTCCTTGCTGCTCCCTGTATCAGAAGCTACTCTCGGGCCTCTGAGACAGAAACTCCTGCTGGGCTGGGCTCACAGGTGGGGGCCAGAGTTCCCGCCCTCTCCAGTTCTGACAATGAAATCAGCAACTCCTCCCACCTCACCCCTCCTGACTCCAGGCAAGCCTCTTCCCAACCAGCACCACCTACCACTGGCACTGAGCCCTGGCCTGGCACTCGGAGTTCTCCCAAGGGCTGATCTGGGAGCCCTCTGCCCATTCTTCAGATCTCTGGGAGAGGGGCAGGAAAAGCTCCTCCCATGGCCTGGGAAAGAGAAGGAGGCAGTTCCAGAGGCCTTGGGGCCACTGACTCCCTTTGGCCCCCTAGGACCTCGAATCTCCCAGGGTCCTGAGCTCCCCACTGCCTCCCAGGGCTCCTGGAAGCCTAGGAGCTGCCCCACCCCCGACACCTCGCTGGGGAGGCCGGAGTTGGGCTGACTGAGATCATAGATTGCAAAACGAGAGGCCGCTCCTGAAAAACTGGTTGTGTGTAGTGACTGACAGAATAACAGGAGGTGAGACCGTGCCCATCCCAGCCCTAGAGACAGATAAGGTGTGGAGGATTTATGAAGTTAGGCAAAGGGCAGGGGAGGCCTCCTTTCTTCAGAGCAGCACAGACCCATTTGGAGGATGATGGTCAGCTCTGAGCGCCACATCCAGGAAGCCCACCGAGCATCTGGAAGGTGTCCAGAGGGTGAAGAGAAGAGAAGGCTTTTCCATAAGGCCCAGCACGTACCAAGCACCGTGATAAGCACTTTACAAATATTCACTTGTTTGATCCTAACAACAACCCTGGGAGGTAGGTGCTATTAATACCCCCATTTTACAGTTGGGGAAACTGAGGCAGAGTAACTTACCCAAGGTGACACAGTTTATCTGAGACTACATTTGAACTCAGGTCTTCCTGACTCCAGGCAGGCCAACCAGAGAGGGAAGGGGCTAGAGATCATAACACTGGAGGACTAATTGAAGGACATGGGGGTGCTAGTAAGTGTCTGAAGCCAGCTACTTCCTCTGAGGGTCTTCCATGGGAGTCCTCCCCTGACTTTAAACTGCCCTCAGCTCTGTGTTGAGTTTGAAGCAAAAAGCTCCCACTTCTGTTCCCTGGGTCCTCACATTCAGATCATGTCCCTGGAGGTGTTCTCTGAACATCTGTGGACATTGTCTGCGGCCATCCTCGAGGGGTTCCACATAGTAGCAGTAGCTCATGTTGCCATAAGTTTTCAAGGGGATGAAGCCCCTTCCTCACAGCCAGCTTACATGGGAGTGAGGAAAGGGATTGTTATTCCCATTTCACAGATGCAGAAACAGAGATTCATAGTAATAAAGTGACCCATGGTCCTAGAACCACAGAATTTTGGGTGTTGGAGGGCCCAAGATGCTAACTAGTCCAACCCAAACCTGATTAAGAAGCCCCCTGTACAATGTCTTCCAACTAGTCACCTAGCCCCCACTCCCACCTAGCTCTCCTGGTTCTGCTTTCTGAAGGGATCTCTCTGGCCCCTGGGGGTTAGCCCTGCTAAACCACATTGGGAACTCCCAAAGAGCAAGGCCCAGGACTACTGATCGTGTTTGGCCCATGGTGCCCAGCACAGAGCTAGATACACAGAAGCAGGCCAAAGCAGCTTTGAATCCTCACTCCTCTCTCTATAAGCTCTGATTTGATGATCCATCTGCTCTCATGATTTAAGTATGATCTCCAGCCCATGTTTTAAGCCTAGAAGGAAGCTAGGGAGTCTTTTTTATTATTATTTATTTGTTTGTTTTTAGTTTGAACATTCACTTTTGTAAGATTGTGAGTTCTAAATTTTTCCCCCTCCCCAAGATGGCATACAATTTGATATAGACTACACATGTACCATCATATTAAATATATTTCCACATTAGTCATGTTGTGAAAGAAGAATCAGAACAAAAGAGAAAAACCAAGAGAAAGAAAAAAAAGGTGAAAATAGTATGCTTTGATCTGTATTCAGACTCCATTGTTCTTTCTCTGGATGTGGATAGCATTTTCCATCATGGGTCTTTTGGAATTGTCTTAGATCATTGCATTGTTGAGAACAGCTAAGTGTGTCAAAGTTGGTCATTGCACAATGTTGCTGTTACTGTGTACAATGTTCTCCTGGTTCTGCTCACTTGAAGCTAGGGATTCTAAGAGTGGATGTAGGAGGGAGAACATTCCAGACATAGAACCTACACAAAAGCATAGACAGGAAATGGAATGGAATGTCCAGGGATAGCAAGTAGCTGAGTATAGTAGAAAAGTAGAATGCATGGATGGGAATAAAATCAGCTAAGTCTAAAAAGGTAGACAGGAACCAGTTTGTAAAGGCTTTAAGTGACAAACTAAGATGTTTGTATTTCATCTTAGAGGTAATAGAAAGTCACTGAAAATTCTTGAGCAAGGGAATGACATGGTCAATCTTGGGTTTTGGGGAGATTATTTTGGCAGTTGCATGGATGGATGTCTGGAAGCCAGCTTTCCAGTTAGGTTATTGCAATTGTCCAGATAGGAGGTAATGAGGGCCTGAAGCAGCATGGCAGCCGTGTGGGTGGAGAGAAGGGATAGAGGGGAGAGATACCATGGAGGCAGGATTAACAAGACTTGGTAACCTATTGAATGTGGGGGATGAAGAAGAATGAAAATTAGATAGAGGGAAGTCTGGAACAGGGTTGGGTTTGGGGGGAGGCTAATGAGTTCAATTTGAGACATGTTGAGTTTGAAATGCTTAGGGATTATCTAGTTAGAGTTGCCCAATGATCAGTCAGTGATTCAGGAATGGAGCTTAGCAGAGAGACTAGGGCTGGCCACAAAGCTCTGGAAATCATCCTGATACAGATGGCAATAGAACCTATGGGCACTGATAAGATCCCCAAAAGAGAGTGTAGAAAATAAAGAAAATAGGGACCAGGACAAAGACTTGGAAAGCACCCAAAGTAGGGACTGATGATCCAACAAAGGATTTACTTACTAGCTGTGTGACCCTAGGCCAGTCACTTAACCTTTGCCTGCCTCAGTTTCCTCAATTGAAAAATGGGGATAATAACAGTATCCACCTCGAAGAGTGGTAAGTGTGCATCTCTCTCTTTCTCTCTCTCTCTCTCTCTCTCTATCTCTCTCTCTCTTTCTCTCTCTCCCTTTCTCTCTCTCATAAAACAATAATAATAATAGAAAACAGTTCTATAAGCCCTACTGTGTGCCAGACGCTGTGCTAAGTGCTTTACAAATATTATCTCATTTTATACTCACAACAACCTCGCAAGGTAGATGCTATTGTTATCCCCATTTTGCAGTAAAGGAAACTGAGGCAGGCAGAGGTTAAGTGACTTGCCCAGGGTCACATAACTAGTTAAGTGTCCAAGGCCAGATTTGAATTCAGGTGGAGACTGAAGATGGCTGTAACCTTGACAGCTTCAAAACATCAGAAGAGAGAGCCACCAGGTGCTCCAAAGGTGGGCTTTGTGCTGGATTTTGCAGCTAGGCCATCCGACATCAAGGCCCTAATTAGAAAGGGACTTCTTCAGGACCAGTGGTAGCCGAGACTAAGACTCATCCAGCAACAATGACTCATTTGGAAAAGCACTTGATGGGACCAGTGCTACATAGAAAGTCTATCAGGCCTGAGCCCACTCTTCCCAGGGACCAAGGTGGGCTAGGAGTGTGCCCCACGGGCATTGTACTTTTTTTCTTGCTATATCTGCAAATTACACGTGCCTTTGGAAAAATTAATGGGCGCTAATTGGTTACATGGAACATGGAGATTTAATCACCAGTAGTTTAACAATCTGAGAAAGGGGAATATACCTGAATGGGGATTCAAGCTGATGCATTAGAGAAGAAGTTCCCCCAAGTCCTTAGGCATACCCCTAGAAGGCTGAACAAGTCATGTAGCCAGGCTCACTCTGGGAGAGTGAACCCCAAGTATCACAACACAAGATATATAGTGATCGTGGAAGGTAACCTCAGACGGAAGGCATTCCCAGCTGGAGGATTGTGAAAGGTCTTCTACAGAAGCAGGGATCTGAGTGATGCTTGGAGGAGACTGCGGAAGCCAGAGGTGGAGATGAGAAGGGAGAGGCCAGGGCTGCTAGACACTCAGTCTTACATTCCCCCTAACCCTTGTTCTGTTCCCTGGCCTGCAGGGCTCGGCTGAGAAGTCAGAGAAGGGAGCAGAGGTTAGAAGGGACCTGCTGTAGCTGAGCCTCTTTCATGAGTGACCAAACGGGCTTGGGGCCATTTCTCAATGGGTCAAAGACACAGACTGGAGGTGAACTCACAGAAAATATGGGGCAAGAGGAAAGGAAGAAGGGAAACAAGCATTTATTAAGCACCCACTACGTACCAGGCACCTTGCTAAGCACTCTTTACAAATATTATCTCATTTGATCCTCACGACAACCTTGCAAGGTAGGTATGGTTATTATCCCCATTTTACAGTAGAGAAAACTGAGGCAGACAGAGGTTAAGTGACTTGCACTGGGTCATATAGCTGGTTAAGTGTCCAAGGCCAGATTTGAACTCAGGTTTTCCTGACTTCAGGCCTAGTGCTCTAACCATTTCACCACCTTGCTGCATAGTTTAAGTCTTTGTTAATTATCTTGTGTTCTTGTATTAAGTATCTTTTGCTTTACTATAATGTCGTCTGCTTAGTTCTAGCTTGGTCAGGGAGACTTAATGGAAATGGGGGTTCCTGAGGTAAGGATTGAGATCATCCATCAACCCTTGAACTCCAAGAATCTGGGAGTAGCCAACAGGAGGCCCAGGTACTATAGATTGCAAGTTCCTTGAGGGCAAGAAGTATGACCTTTTTCATCTTTCTCTTCCTAGCACTGAAAATACAGGTAGGCACACAAGAGGAGCTTAATAAATATTGTTCATTCAAACTCAATGGCAACAGAGATCTCTTTGGAGCAAGGCATTAATCAGAAGAGCAAAGGTGTGGGACAGTGACACCCAAGGGCCGAGTACCCAATGAGTCAAGAACCCTAATCTCTAAGTGTCTCTCAGCACTGCCCTCAAAGAGCCCTTGTTTTAAAAAGGAGAGCCCCTGGGGGCTCTTGGTCT